GAGAAGCCGGCTTCAGGTTAACCCAGGCCAAAGGCTTTGTGTGCCTTTGGAAAGCGCTTGCTGGAGCTGGTTGGGCAATTCCTGGCTTTGGCTGGTGTCCTGGTGGGAATGCTGGAAGTGCAGGCTGAGTCAGGCTGGGAGGCACTTGCAGGCATCCCTGCTCTGACCCGGAGCAGCACCAGCGAGGTCAGGCTGACCAGCACCTGGACAGCTTTGAGATCCCACCAGCTCTCCAGCCCTGGTCCTGTGCTGGACCACCCTCCTGGTGAGAGAGCTTTTATTTCCCCATCTCTAACTGGCAGGATGCCCTTGCAGTGCAGAAAGGGATGGAGGATGCACGCTGGCTGGGAAGCGAGGTGCTTCCCTTTCCTCCCTGTGTGCAAGCAGCACACTCAGGCTGGGCTTGCAGGACCTGTGTGTTTGTTCTCTGCCTGCCCCAAAGCTCCTGCATGGATAACAGGGGACAGTGGGGGCTCCAGGACCCTTCGCTTTTATTTCCTCCCTGACCCCAAACACTTTCTATCTGAACATGGGGGTCTCTGTTGGATCCAGGCTCAGGGCTGGCAGAGCTGTGGGAACCCTGATTTTTGGGGTGGCTTTGTTGCTGCACAGGGGTGGGAAGGGGCGATGGGGCTGCCCACTGCTCCCTATGCAGTAAGGTAAGCCCCACAGCACAGCTCTGCGTGCAATGCCAGGGCTGCGGGTGAGCCTTGTGGTGGCTCAGCCCAGGCTGCCTGCGTCCACAGGCCAGGAGATTGAAGCTGTAGCCCTGTTGGTCCCCAGGTGCTGCAGCACAGCGATGGGGATGTGACAGGGCAATGGCCACCTTCCCTCCTCCCATCCCCTGGGGGAGAAAACAGCTTGGTTTGTGTTTGGTGGTTCCCAGTTTGTTGGCCAGATGAACATCCAGAACCTGCTCTTGTGCTTCTCGGGGGTTTGATTTGGTCTCTTAAGCTCCCTGTTTTGACGTGTCTTTTCAGAGGCATTTTGCATCGCTCCTGACCGTGACTCTCCCCCGTGCTTAAGGGGGTGAATTTGGATGGTTGACTTAATTATACTTTCCCCTCTCGTGACCCAATGGCCCCAGCTACTTGGGCTGTGGAGCTTTAATTAAGCTGGTTTTAAATTTAACGGGAGTTGACAGGGTCAGTGGGAGGGGCTGGGACTTACATGTGTGGGGAGAGTCACTGGGCCCCATGCAGCAGCCGTGCTGCCGTCCTCCACCAGCAATTCCTTTCCTCTGGGAGAGTTTTCCATGAGCTGGGATGCCTTAACCCAGGTGCCTTTGACATGCAGTCATTGGGCAGAGTGGGGGCACCTGCCTGCAGCTTTCCCAGTTCCTGAATTGAAGCTGAGAGATGAATTGAGCATCTCTGCATCTCTCCTTCTGTTTTAAGAGTCAGGTGAGAAATGAGTGTCCCTGTGGAGGAAGAGGGCTGGAGGCACGATCCAGGCGTGCCCTTGCTGTGGCAGCTGGGCAGGGAGAGGATCTGCAGTGTCAAACCCTGGTTTATGGGGCTGGGGGAGCAGCTCCCCCTTCCCCACCAGCACCTGGGACTCAGGTGGCGCAGTGGTGCCCCACTGCAGTGGGGCTGGTAGAGATGTGCTTCTGTGTTTCCCTTCAAGAAAAGCCCAAGAGCATGGGACAGGAATTGCTTTTTCCATGGGGGACACAGTGACCTGCTGTATTCGTGTGGCTGAGCCGGTGCCCCGGCCGTGATGTTTGCCATGGGAAAAGGCAAGACTTCAGTAGCATTTTCTGGGACCAAGGGTGAAGCCGCTGCATGAGCGTGTCTGGGGCTGTATCTCCTACCAAAATGTGGGGAGGGAGCAGGGGGTGATGTGAGGATGGGGACAGGATGGTGTTGGCTGTTCCGGGACCACCTCACTGTGGTTATGGTGGCAATCCACCACCCCTGGCGTGGTGCTGACCTGCTGTCTGGGTGCGGGGGCATCACTGCCACCTTGTGCTGCCTGTGCTGGGGGACACAGGGGACAGCGAAGTGCCTTTTGGCGCTCGGCTGCCTGCTTCTAGCCCCACATCTCTGCTGTTAAAGGCACACCTTGTAGATGGCTTCTGTTTGTCCTGCATGGATGTGCCCTGGCTGGACACGGCTCCTGCTGGGAGGGGGTAGGTTGTGTGCACAGGGACATGGAGTGTGTCAGGGTAGGATGGGGATTGCCGCTCTCTGCTCCTTCCCATCGCCAGTGCCTGTGGGCTGGGTGCTGCGAGGCTGCTTTGTCTCGCTGCCATCCTGCATGCTTCATTTTTCAGTCTGGTGCGAGACAGTTCATGTTATTAATCTCGCTGGGCCTTTGCAAGCCTCGGCTCCCACCAGCAGCTGGTGAACACTGGTGCCCCCAGCCCCTCACTCACCTCTCCCCCAGCACCCCTGCTCGGCACCCACCGGTTTCTTTGCAGCCCCAAGGACGGAGCCTGTTTTACCGGAGACATCTCCCTCCCCAAGGCTCCGTGTCTGGTGTTGGGCCCCAGCCTGCCGCAGCCTTTCCCAAGGTTTCTGCTCCTGTCTCGCAGAAGCCGCACTGCTGTGTTGTGTCTGCTCCCAATCAGTGTCTTTTGTTAGTGTCTTTGAAAAGAAGATAAGATCGCTTCCTCCTCCGCCGCCAGCCCCGCTATCAGCCTGGCGTTACCATGGCCAGTATCCTGGAGCGATCCGATCCAGGCGCAGTGGGGAGCAGCCAGAGCAGGGCTTGCTGGAGAGCATTCGGTTCCCCTCGCTGTGCCTTTGCGAGAGCATCTCTGTGGGGAGGTAGGGCAGAGGATCGACCCTTTTCCTGCATCCCTACTTGCAGTTAATGGGGGGGGTACAAGCTTTGGGGACACGGGTGCCGGAGGAGCGGGGATGCTGGGCAGGTCAGCGCCTGGCGGGGATGCCGCTGTCTCGTGTGCCGTGGTCTGATCAGAGCTGAGTTGTGCAGCCAAGTGAGCTTCATTTTTAATTGCTTTGGAGACGGGAGGGCGGTGGTGGCCTCTCAGTGCAGCTCTCTGCTTGCTGCAGTCTCTGCCCTGGGCTCAGCCCCTGGCACCCCACCCTCTGGCTGCAGCTCATCCCATGGGAATGGGGGGCCTGGAAGGCTCTGGGTGCAAAAGGCAGCAGCAGAGGTGGGGATGGCAGGGCTGGCAGGCTGCTCTGCCACTTTCAGCCACTAAATACCGTGTCTGCACTTGCATCCCTCATGCTCCCATTCAGCGCCAAGTGCATCCATCCACCCTGCAGTCATGCTGGGACCTGTCCCTTTCCCTTCGGAGGACCTTGCACCCACCACCCCAATATGTGGCACATTTGGGTTTGCCTGGTGGCTTTTTTTTGGTCCTCTTTTATCTAAACATGGGCTTGGGAGCCCAGTGGCACAGCGGCCAGGGGTGACAGGGACACGGGCACCACGTGTGTACGCAGCACAGCCTTATTTGTATGTGCTGCAGCCCAGAGTTGAGACTGCAGCTTCCCCCCCACCTCCCACCCTGCTGTGCAATTATTGCCACTGAATATTAGTCAAGTACAGATTACAAACCATACAAAGTCTTACAGAGCTGTCAATCAGCTGCTGCTCATTATCCTAATCAAATGCACCAAAAATAGTGACAAAACTTATTAGCAGGGGGCAGGGGGAGCGCATCAAAATAAACCTGTGGTGTGGCACATCCTCTGTGTGACAGCCACTACCCCAAGCACCCACCCAGCGAGAGCGATGAGGGGGCTGCCTGGCATGGTGCTGACCCCACGGAGGTTTGCTTGGTGGTTTCCACCATCACTCCACAGTGTTTGCAGCATTATAACAGTGTGCTGTGGGGCTGTGTGCTGTGCTCTGGGTAATGCACAGGCTGAGCAGGTTGGGCTGGGGCAGAGAAGGCAGTGATGGCAGCTGTCGGTGCTGGGGGGGGGCAGCAGCTCCTCCTTTGGTGCTGTCTCTGTATGAGCCTTCCCCTTGCTATGCCTTCAAGGTTGATGGCCCTCTTGTGTGAAGGCAGGAGGCTGCTGCTGCTCTTGCTTCCAGGCTTGCTCCCAGCACGGTTAGATGGCAGGGCAGCAAAAACCTGCCTGCCCTGTCCCCATCCGTCTGGGATGTTCCTCCTGGGTGAGATGTGAAACCTGGGCTCCAGCCAGGACAGGAGCCTGTGGGATGCTGCTCTGGGATATGAAGCTGGGGGTGCCACAGGGGCTGGATCCCCTTGTGCCAGGCAGACTGAAGTCTCTGTCCAGCACTGGGTTTTGCAGAGCTGGCTGGAGAGATCTTGCTGTTGGTAGAATAGCAGGGAGAAGGGCAGTTCCTGCAGGATCTGGGGGCTGGGAGGGGATGGCAGAGCCAGATGAGTGACTACCCTGGCACATCCCTGCTTTGCTTTCTACCTGAATCTCTGCCCCAAGCCACTGCTGCTGCGGAGTGTCCCCACATTATGCACTTTTGTGGCACAAAACTGTCCTTTTTGACAAAATTGGTTCAAACGTGCTTTTCTGGCTGAGTCAGGGCTTGAGCTGCATGGTTCCTGCTGTAGCATCTGTGTGTGTTCTTGGCGATGGAGAAGGTGACTCTCATCCCTGGGGACAAGGTCCCCAGTTGGTGACCGACCCTCTCTGCCACCGGTCCCGGCTGTCCGGAGAGCCAGGACTGGGAATGCTGGTGTGTCCAGGGGAACCGGCTTCGCTTCGCCCCCCGAAAACCCCTGGGTGGGCCAGGAGTGCCTTGCGCTCCCCTCTCACCCCAGGGCATCACTCGGGGCGGCTCCATCCGCCTCCTCTCCCATCCGCGGGTGGGTTTGATGAAGTGGAGCAGAGAATTGTCCCCTCTTCACACATGAGAGATCAGAGCGCGCTGGTGGAGCTGCCGGCCCCGCGCTGGAGGGACGGAGGAGGAGGAGGAGGAGGAGGAGGAAGGCAGCGGGAGCCCTGGGCGCCAGACCGTGGCGCGGGGGGGAGAGGGCGGCGGGCGCTGCGGGTGCTGCGGGCGCTGACGGCGCTGACGTCCCCTCTGTCTCGCAGGCTGCAGCGGGAGCTGAGCTGACTTTGCCGGCGGCCCCTCCCCACCCCGCGGCGAGGCTGTAGCCGGGAAGCGCTGGTAAGACACCTCCGACGGCCCGGGAAGGGGGGGACCGGGCTGCTTTGCCGAGTGAGCCCACCTAGGACAAGGGAAACCCTCCCCACCCTCTGCGGGGGGCTCCGGTCTGGGGTGCCCTGCAGCAGTCCCTTCGGGTGCTGGGTGGCGCAACCCTCCCTTCGTCCTTCCCATCCCTCGGAGCTCCCCCCGGCGTGGGGGACAGAGCTGAGGCCTCACAACTCAGCACCGCGGTGGTTTGTGCTTTGCCGCTGGCGCTGACCCCCGGAGCGGAAGGCAGGGGAGTTCCTGCAGGCTGCGACGTGCCCGGAGTGCTAATCCCCGCCGCAGGAACGCTGCTCCCTCCGCCGCCTCGCATCAGTCAGAGGCGAGCACCGGGAATGCTGGCTGAGCTCCAGCCTGTCTCCACACAAGCCTTGCGAGGGGAAGCCCTGCTGAAAGCCGAGGCAGCGGCCGGAATGGGAGCGATGCTGAGGCCCCCGTCCCAGCACTGTTGGCTGTGAAAAGCACTGGGGCAGGGAAATACCCCACCAGGCATCGGCTGGGCTGCCCTGGCTCTGGTGCAGGCGGCTCTGAGCGTGCCTGCAGCCTGTTACACGTACAAATACCCTACATTAGACGTAAATACAGTGGAGCCGCTGGTGGTCGGTATCTTTTGCAGTCCCACAGCTCCTAGCGATGCTGCTGGGGTGTGATGGGAGCTGCCACACCAGGCAATGGGTTCGTTCACTTCCTTCTCTGCCCCTTGGCTCTGGGGGTCTCATTGCCAGCTCTGCTGAAGGCAGAGGGGTCTCTCCCTGGTGCACCCCCCCCCCCGGGGATCTGACTGCAGAGCACATTCCTGCTGTCTTTGATAACTCCTCTGCCAGACTCTTGCACAATCCCTGAGTCCTCCAGGACGAATTTGCACCCTTTCCTTGCCGGCTGCCAGCGCAGCGATGTGGGGGCTGCAGGGGCTTTCTGGGACCCCCACTCTTCCCTGGGTGAAGGCTGGGAATGTTCTCCCCGGGGAAGCCGCAGGGCTAAAGCTACATGGTCACACTGGCTGAGTTCCCTGGGACTCGGAGAGGGGACAGTACGAGGCTGCCAGTGCCACTGGGCACGTTGTGGGGTTGCCAGCCTACATTGTGCAGTAGCCATACTGAAGCAAGTGCATGCAGGTGTTTAGGAGCAGGAGAGCTCAGAGCAGGGATCGCTGCTGTGTAGCCTCTTCCCCAGAGGCTTGTGCCTCCTCCTCATCTCCCATCTTAGCCTCCTGCAGCCAAAGCCCCAAGGGCTGGATTTGGTGACCATCATGGACCCAGCAAAGCCCTTGCAAAGGGTGATCAGCACCCAGGCACAAGCTGGGAGCTTGTGTTGTGTATGGAGATCTCTCCCTCCCCAAAGCCACTGTGCAAGGAGGAATGAACTCACTGGCTGTGATTCCCTGATCAGGACATGCCTGAAGGATGCATGTTCTATGCCTGCAGGCTAATGGGTGTGTAGGGAGGACCCCCCCTTGCTTTGGGGACATTGGGGAAGTGCCTGGGGGATCCACTCTCCCTTTCCTGTGCTCTGCTCCCGGCTAATCTCTTATAATGACTATTTTATACTCTTGATTTGTCTCATGATGCTGGTAAATCAGTTGCTGGCCTAGGCTGGCAGCCCCGCGGGCTGCACTCAGGGGATGCTCGTGGCCCCACAGTGCTGCTAAATCCGCTGCCCGGGCTGGGTGTTTTCCTGCCTGGGGAAGTGCTGCTTCCAGGGGAAACTCTGAGCAGCTCTGCCCTTTGCTCACGGTCGCGTGGGCAGTCACAAGCTGCACGGTCACAGCCGAGCCGTGTCCCTCTTTCCTCCCTGTGCATCCCGGGAGCACCAGCAGGTACCGGAGCCCAGGGTGGAGGTGAGCAAAGGGATGGGGAGGATCCCATGGTGAGATCGCTTTCCTTACCAATGGGGGCTTTTTCTCCTTGTTTCTGAGGTCCTGCTTTCCTCCTGCAGTTCTGCTTTAGCATCTTCTGCACCAGGCTTTTAAAAGCGTGTTTATTTATGGGATGGACTCTTCCTCTTTGCCACAGGATCTGTCTCTGGATTGCCAGCAGTGACGATTTGCAAGCATAAAGCTTATGATTGACCTTCCCTTTGCTCTGAGGTCCCCAGAGCCCAGCACAGATATGCGTGGGCCATGTCCCATGGCAGATAGAGGCATTGGTCCCTCCCTCCTTGTTGCCTGCGTGCATAAGAGGAAGAACGGCTCCGCTCCCTGTTGGAGTGTCTGCTGTAGCCATACCCAGCCCCAAAAATCACTTTGTTCTGATTCCCAAACCCTGGCAAGGTCTGATCCCAACTACCAGCGTGGTTGCAGGTGAAGCAAACCTGGGTGGGAGTGGGACAGGGAATGCTGCTGGCCCCCTGTGCAATTTGGGAGCTGGAAAATAGCACATGGAAGTTGGGTTCTTTGGGATATATTGCCAGGCAAAGCCCTCACCATGGGGAGGGGAGCTGGGAGGGGAGCAGACCTTGTGCCTGGCACCCCTAAGCTTCCCCATGGCAGGAACTGGAGGGCTTTACCCCACCGCTGCTGGGGCTGTGGAGGCTGCTGGAGCTGCCCCGTGGCCCCGGCCCCACTCATGGGGGCTCAGCCCAAGCCTCTGTCAAAAGCTGGCTTAGAAAAGCCATCTGTTGGGTGAGGCTGAGCCCTTGGCAAAGCCTCACGGGTGGCTGCATCCAGGTCTGCACCCCGCGGGCAGCGGCTGCCTCCTCCATTCCTTCTCTGCTTGTTTGTTCTTATCGAAGATATTTTCCTCCTTGGTTGTCTCCACCTCCCTTTTCCCTCCTGCCATGCGTGATGTAGCGTAAATATTTCCTTCCATAGCTTCAGGACACTGCTGGGTATCCTGCTATCTTTGGAGACTGCAAATAATTCCCTTCCTTCATTTATATCGTTACCTTGAAGGTATTTATAGAGCATGATCTTGAGTGGAAAAGAAGGCATGTCTATATATAAAGACAAGATCCCAGCTGCTAACTGCCTGAAACTGCTCCTGATTTCAACTTTTATCTTTATGTATTTTATTTGCTTTGCGGTTTGGACTTCACAGGGCCATCCTCAGCATTTAAATCCCCATCCTGAGCAAGCAGAGTGATGCAGCTATGGGTTCTCCAAATATCTGCAAGTTGGAGTTATCCAAACTCATGAATATTTGCCCAGGTTTTGTCTTCTCCTGTCCGTGCCCTGGTACAAGTCCTTGTGTAGGAGGAAGGGTGGCTGTATGGGATGCTGAGTTGCATCCCATGGCGGTGCCTGGCCCTGGAGCAACCATGCTCCCAAGCACCAGTCCATGCTCCACACTCAGCATCCTCCCTCCCTACTCCCACAGCTAAGCATGCTTCCCTCTCCGCTCCCTGTGTTTTCCTGGCTGCTGTGGCCATGCAGGAGGTGGCTTGGTGTTAATGAGGAGCGACGCTATCCCAGGGCAAGGGCAGGATGGCCAGACTGCCTGGCAGCTGGTGCTTGAACAGACTCCAGAGGTCGTTTTGTTTCCTAGTGGGCAAGTGTCTGTCACACAAGTCCTGGGAAGCAACTTCTTAGTAATAATAATGATAATAATAACAATAATAATAATAATAATAACAATAATAATAGTCTTCTGTGTGTCTGTCTCCTCCAGCCTGGGACCATGGGGAGCAGCAAGAGCAAGCCCAAAGACCCCAGCCAGCGCCGGCGCAGCCTGGAGCCCACCGACAACACCCACCATGGGGGCTACCCAGCTTCACAGACCCCCAGCAAGGCGGCTGCTCCCGATGCCCATCGCACCCCCAGCCGCTCCTTCGGGACCATGGCTGCCGAGTCCAAGCTCTTTGGAGGTTTCAACACCTCCGACACGGTCACGTCGCCGCAGCGTGCCGGGGCGCTGGCGGGTTGGTGTGGGCTGGGCACGGTGTTGGGGGGGCTCGGTTGGGTCTTTGTGGGTTTGGTTCCAGGTTCTTCTCGTGATGATGGGGTCTCCTGCTTTAGGGCAGGAGGGGGAGCAGGTCTGTGTCTTACTGGCTGGTGGGAGAGGAGGGTCCGGTGACTGAGTGCTCTGTGTCGCAGGTGGAGTCACCACCTTCGTGGCCCTCTACGACTACGAGTCCCGGACCGAAACGGATTTGTCCTTCAAGAAGGGAGAGCGCCTGCAGATCGTCAACAACACGTGAGTGTCCCTGTCCCTGCAGCCGAGCCCGCGTGGATGAGCTGCCACCGTCCTCCCTCCTGCGGAGCCCCGAGCCTGGCCCCAGCCCTCCCCAGAGATGGGTGCTCAAAGAGGGATATGCCAAAACTCGCACGGCCGCAGTGACTTGGCCGAGGACACCGGTGCTGGAGGCAATCGTTCACCTGCTCCCACGTCCTCCCAGCCCTGCTGCTGGTCACTGTTGCCTTGCAGCCTTGTCACCAAGCCACCTCCTCTGCTTGCTGGCCAGTCCGTGCCTTCCAATGCAGAGCCGTGTCCCCATGGGTCCCCTGTCCCCAGCAGCACTCAGCTCCCTCTCCTTTGCTTGGACACTCTCAGCTTTGTGGGTGCCTTCCCCTGTGCTTGCACGGTGTCTCTGATCTCAGCCTCTCTCTTGACTCTTTTCTCTCCTCTGTGCCATGCTGTCGTTTAGGAGAAAAGTGGATGTCAGGTGTGTATTGCAGATTATTACTATTATTATTGTTAGCAATCTTAAATGCCAAAAGCCCTTCTGCTGCCCATAGGGCAAGGCTGGGAGGAGCGGGGCTGGGAGGAGATGGTTGCCCAATGGTTTTGTGGGACAGAGCAGGGAGCCCCTTCCTGTGCCAGGGCTCTGCTCTATCCAGCACTGTGTCCAGGAGCTCTGAACCCAGCCTGCTTTCCTTGTCTGTGCCTGGCACCCCCCTGCAGTCCCTTTCCAGTTGGCTCTCTGCTCCTTCCTGGCCTTTTTTGCTTTTATTTTTGCATTTTTAAATGTTACTTTGATTTTTTGTGAGTGGCTCAGGGGACTCAAGCACTTCTTTAGAGATCTGGCTCCTGCTTGTTTGCTCCCCATCCTGGTTGTAACAGCACACCCATCACTTGCTTCGTAGAGCAGGGCTGGAAGATGCTCCAAACCTGATCCTGTATTAAACCCATGTGTGCTCAGTCCTAACACATGGCATACACAGTCTGGAGCCTGGCAGGAGGAGCCAGTGTCAGGTCTGTGGGGTCTGCAGCTCCTGCTGGCCCCTCCACTGCTTCCTCCCAACCTGGGCACCCAAAACAGCTCTGCACGGTCAAAGGGTGGAAAGATGAGGGAACATCCCGGGGGTGATATTTCTGCTGCAATGGCTGGGCAGTGTTGCACAAACATGTTTTCAGTCTGATCCTTGTTCTCCTTGTTCCAATGCTGTTTATTAATGGTAATTCATTTAATCCATGAAGTCCAGGATGTGCAGGGCTTCAACGCTTCAAGAAAAGCCTAGATTTGGGGGGTTTGGTGTGTCTTGCTTTCACAGCCTCAGCAGTGTGTTAGCCCCAGGCTTGGGTTCTGGTTTGGGCTGTTACAAAGTGAGCTCTGACCATTGGGGGTCCAGATTGGGCCCATTTAGGAGTGTTTTTTCTTTATGCTTTATACCACTTACAGGGTTTCCATCCTTCTTGTTTCTCTGCTACTGTTTGTCAAAGGCTCGGTCAGAGGGAAGGGTCGGGGTGTAATGGGCTCTGGGGAGCAAAAGGGCTCTCTTTGGCAATGCAGCCCATCAGTGGAAGTGCAGATCTGGTTGCTGACCTTCCTGGTGTCTGCTATGGCTGTGCGGATGGGATGTCTGCAGGCAGAGAGGCAGTGCAGGAAGCTGTGCAGTTGCTGCAGTGCTCAGAGGGGTAAATGTCTCTTCTCACTGAGTGCCTGGGGATGGTCCGGGAGCTGCTCCAGCTGCTGTGCTTTGGGGACAGCAAAAGGCAGGCGTGGGATGGATGTCCCCTTCCTCTGGGCTCCATGGGCAGGGCACAGTGGGTGCCCTGGGGGTGTTGGAGAGTGCTTGGGGTCAGCCTGGGAAGGGCTGCAGGAGCCCATGGCTGTGACTGGCCACCAGCAACTTTGCAGGGAGGCTGCAGGTTTTGGATGCTCTGAGAGGGCTGGGGTTGGGTACAGGAAGGGGAGAAGCCTCTGTGTCACTGCAGCAATCCAGCAGAGCTCAGGCTGTCTGCAGTGACCCTCCCTCAGCCTCCTGGATGGGCTGAATACATACACCCCCCCAGGGCAGAAAGACTCTCATGGTACTATTTCCAATGGAAGGAGGTCTCCTCCCAGCCAGCTGGCAGTCAGCAGGGATGTGGTGGGGTATTTTGGGTAAGATTGTGCAGGGAATTGTTGAAATGCTTTGTTTTGATGATGATGATGATGATGATTTATTTTTTTTCCCCCGCTGAGACATTTTTGGAATCGTTTGTGTTTGCTGCATTCCCAGCCTGCAGCCCTGCAGTCCGAGCTGGAATAAAGCCACAAGGCAAAAGCTGTTTTCTCCGGTCCCATGGGAAAGGAGCGCAGGCAGCCTCCTGTCCCCTTTGGAGCCACCTCAGGAAAGGTGGCTGGGCAGCAGCTCTGGCTGGGGAGCCCAAACTACCTGAGTGAGATGTGCTGGGGCTGGAAGAAGCTAAAACACCACCTGGGGCTACTGCAAGGCTGGGGGTGGGCTCCCAGATGGCTGCAGAGCCCAAGTCTCTGGGTAGGAGATGATGCCCAGAGGGTCCTCGCTTTCCCTCCCTTGACACCATCACAGGGAGCTGGGGGCTGTGTCCAGCTTCTCCCATCCACTCCAAAGCATCACTGGTTTAGCTGGGACGAGCAAAAGTCACAAGCTGCTGGTGTGTCTGGAGCAAGGATGGAGGTTTACACATCTGCAGGGGCCGGGGACAGGTCTGGATGTGGGATCTGCTGAGTGTTCTAGTGGTGATAGAGGTTGTGAAGGCTTTTCTGTGGAGTGTTTGTGGACGTCGTCCTGCCAAGTTCTTGCATCCTTGTGGTGCTGTTCCCATGAACGCAGTTTTCCCGTAGCCTCATCTCCCTCCTGGTCAGGATAAATTGACTCTGTCTTTGAAGGGTGAGCAGATGCAGGTGGTGGGAGGAAGCTCTGCTGGCTGTGGGGAAGGGGAAGCCACCTCCTGCTGTCCTGTTGTTCTTTATTTGTTGTCCTTTCCTGCCCTGTCCTGTGCAGGAACCTGCAGTGAGGAGGGCAGAGCAGTGAGGAGGCTCCCGCACCCTGCCAGCTCCTGGGGACATGCTTGGGGCCGGTGATGGGTCAGCCCCAGGTGCTGGGGATGGCAGAGGGGCTCCTGCAGGGCAGAGCTGTGCTCAGGACAAGCACAGTGGAGTGCCTGGCTCTGTGTGAGCTGCACTCATGGCTGTGCAAATGCATCTCGTGGTCAGGGGCTGCAGCCATGCAGGGGGCCTGTCCCAGTGGCACCCAAGCTGGATGGAGCTCACTGCATCCGCACTGGGCATCACTGCAGGATGGGTCTCACCCGCCTGCCCAAACCTCTGCCCCATCTCTTGCTTTTCTGCAGCCTGTGTTTAACAAACTTGGGGTTTCCTGGTGCTTTTTTTAACTACTGCCATCATTCTGTTGCTTTTCCCCATTGCCCCTTCCTCCCCTTGCCTGGTGCTGCCTTGGATCCCCAATGCTTCTCAACCTCCAGCCAGACCCTGTTGGCATTCAGGTGGCTCCAGAGGTATTTTGGCTCTGACTGCCCAATTTATGTTTAAAGCATCCCATATGTGGATGGGTTGCCTTGATACCAAGAGCTTGTCCACATGGAGCCACAGGCAGGGTCTGGCAGGAGGAGCTTTCCTGGCCAGGGTCTGGGGGCTGCGGGGCTGGCCAGGGTGGCTCCTGGCTTCACACTGAGTGTGTTTTGGTTCTCTTGCAGGGAAGGTGACTGGTGGCTGGCTCATTCCCTCACTACAGGACAGACGGGCTACATCCCCAGTAACTATGTCGCGCCCTCAGACTCCATCCAGGCTGAAGAGTAATTGCCATCTTTTAGACAGTTTAAAGACAAGGGATAGCAAACGCACCCTGAGTGCTCCTCCTCCCCCTGCCCCTCTCCTGGGTTCTTCCTTCGTGTTATTTTTGCCTGCTTTGAATTTGCAAACCCCTTAAATGTTTTCCAGCCTTTCTTTAAGACCCATAGCAGAGAGGTGCGGTGAGCTTGTGCCGTGGAGGGATGAGCAGTGGCATGGCAGGGGCCATGGTGGACCTGTTATGCTTTCGGTCTGGTTTTTAGTCTTCTGCATGGACACCCATCTATGTGTGAGGATGCTGCCTGTGCAGATCAGGCTGGGCACAGAGGTGACTGTCACACAGGGAGAGCAGGCAGGGGATGTAAGTCCCAGAGCAGGTGACACCTATGTCATAGGATCACAGACTGGTTTGAGTTGGAAGGGACCTTGAAGCTCATCCAGTTCCAACCCCTGCCACGGGCAGGGACACCTTCCACTAGAGCAGCTTGCTCCAAGCCCCTGTGTCCAACCTGGCCTTGAACACTGCCAGGGATGGGGCAGCCACAGCTTCTCTGGGCACCCTGTGCCAGCGCCTCAGCACCCTCACCCACCCCCAGGCAGCAGCATGCTGTCCCCCCCAACAAGAGCTCGAGGGCTTCAGGGGTCCTTGGAGCCCCTCCTTTGGGGAGGCTTTTGGAGTTCAGGCGTTCCATGCTGTGCGGTGCAGGCTGTTCCTTGGTTGATGCTGTGTGTGGGCATGGTGCACCCCAGTACGGTACCCCCGTGGTACACCACGGTACCCATAGCCCGAGCCCAGATACACAGCCTGTGGTCTCTGCAATGTGCGGTGGGGAGGCGATGGGCAGGCAGGATGCTGGGGCTGAGCCATTGCCTCGCTCTCGCAGGTGGTACTTTGGGAAGATCACGCGCCGCGAGTCCGAGCGGCTGCTGCTGAACCCCGAAAACCCCCGAGGGACCTTCCTGGTGCGGGAGAGCGAGACCACGAAAGGTGAGCGGGGATGGGGAGGACCAGCCCGGGGAGCCCCTCTCCGCACCAGTGGGGCACCACACAGAGCCCCCGGTCCCCTCGGCCACTGCATAGCCCCAGGTCTGAAGTGCACGGAGAGGGAGAAGGAGGAAAGAGTTGAACCTTGTGGACAGGACCAGCAGGCAGGATGCTCTTTTTCCTGTTCTTTAGTGGGTTTGGTGGTGTTTGTTTGATTTTGGGGTTTGGGAGGTGTTTTTTTTACACCCCCAAGGAGGTGGGTTTGGTTTTTCCTAGTCCCCAGTGGCAAAATCTTAGGTATGTGCTTCCTGGGCAGCCAGGCAGAGGTACTGCTGAATCTTTGGGTCCTTCTTTCAAATCTAATGATTCTTTGTCGCTGTTTTCTGTTCCCCAAAAGTGCAAGTTGTGATCTTCATGGGTCGGCTGCCTGAGGATGCTGTTTCTTACCTACAGATGTGGTTTAGTTTGCCTCCAAAAGGCACCTTTGGGAAAAGCTCCTTGATGTTCCTTTCTGTTTTGATGCCTTAAGCTTGCCACTGTTTAGTTTATCCTGGTGGAAACAGCTCATTCAAGCAGCACATAAATCTTCCTTTCCGTTACTTGTGGAGTGCAGTGTTGCTCTCCTGTGGCCAGAGGAGGGACAAGCTGCCACAGTGATGCCTGTGGTGGGATTTGTGGAGGAGGGAGTTGGGTCCCTCGGGCGCTTGGCTCCCCTCTGAGATGTTGGCGTTGTGGGTCAGCAGCTGCCCCCAGCCTGGTCCTGTCCCCTGCTTCTGTGTCCCCTCATTGCTGTCAGGGCCATGTTCATCCCTGTGCCATGGGAGCTGCTCACCCTCCTGCTGGGCCCCCAGAACCCAGTGGGGTCTCTTGCTTGGTTCCAGCATGGGGGACATGCTCCATCCCTGTGTGCTGGCTCCTCTGGGAGTGGGTCCCAGCCAGGAGCAGTATTTCTTGGGGAGGAAGCATCCGTGGTGCTGTGCACCGGGGAGAGGGACCTGGGGGGGGCTGGAAGGGATGATGCCTCTTGTTAGCATGGCTGATGAGGATGCTGGGGGAGCAGTGGGCATCACCTGTGCCCAAATGACTGACCCCACAGCCACCTCCTTCTGCAGCGGGGGTCTCCAGGAGACCCTCATCTCTGTGCCAGCCTGGCTGGGGGCGGTTGTGGTTACATGGTGTGGCTATAACCAGGCTGTGTGCCAGACACCCCCTCCCTGGCATGAGGAGCTGCTCCCCATCCTCTGCTTTCGGGGGGAAGCAGCAGCCTGCACGCCCAGTCCTACCCCCCTGCACCCACCCCCTGGGTGGGACCCCATGGGGGGCACCCATCTGTGGTGCATCCTCCCCAGCCCCTCCATCCTGCCCGCAGGTGCCTATTGCCTCTCTGTCTCCGACTTCGACAACGCCAAGGGGCTCAATGTGAAGCACTACAAGATCCGCAAGCTGGACAGTGGTGGCTTCTACATCACCTCCCGCACCCAGTTCAACAGCCTGCAGCAGCTCGTGGCCTATTACTCCAGTGGGTAGTCACTTGGGGTCCCCATGGGGTCTGGGGGATGCCCTGGTGCTGTGCCTGCCCTCAGTGCAAGATAGGTGCTGCTGGGAAGCCAGCATGGGGTTGGGGGACCCCAAACCAGTTGAGGGGGGATGCTGGTGAAAAGCTGGTTGGGTTTTAGGGGAGAGGGTGAGGGTTTGGGTATGGGGTCTTTGCGGTGCTTCACAGGGAAGATGTGGGGTAAAGATGTCATGTGCCTAAATGCCTAAGTGTCACCCTGGCGTTGTCCCCTCCTGTGCTAGAACACGCCGACGGCTTGTGCCATCGTCTCACCAATGTCTGCCCCACTTCCAAGCCCCAGACCCAAGGCCTCGCCAAGGATGCCTGGGAAATCCCCCGGGAATCGCTGCGGCTGGAGGTCAAGCTGGGACAGGGCTGCTTTGGAGAGGTGTGGATGGGTAAGGACCATTCCCACCCCCCTGTCCCCGTGTCACTGCCCGCATCCTCTCCCCAAGTGCCCAGAGCCTGCAGTGGGGTGAGGGAGCAGGCGAGGGATGGGCCTCCTGCCCCATACACGTGTCCTGAGCAGCGTGTCCTGTGCACAGGGACCTGGAATGGCACCACCCGGGTGGCGATCAAGACTCTGAAGCCCGGCACCATGTCCCCGGAGGCCTTCCTGCAGGAAGCCCAGGTCATGAAGAAGCTCCGGCATGAGAAGCTGGTTCAGCTCTACGCCGTGGTTTCAGAGGAGCCCATTTACATTGTCACTGAGTACATGAGCAAGGGTGAGCGCAGGAGGGATGCTGAGGGAGGCTGAGGTCCTGCGCTCCTCTGCACTGCTGTGACTGTGGTCTTCCTCACAGGGAGCCTCCTGGACTTCCTGAAGGGTGAGATGGGCAAGTACCTGCGGCTGCCCCAGCTCGTGGATATGGCAGCTCAGGTGGGTTTGTGCATCCCCAGGCCTCCTGCATCCTCTTCCAAAGGCAGTGGCTGCCCGAGCACCTCGCTGGGCTGCTGGGGCTGTGCCCTGTCGGGTGGTGAGGTTCTCTGCAGCCTCCCTGCGGTGGTTTCCACCATCCCCAATGGGTGCTCAGCCCAGAGCCAGGCTGCAGGCAGGGACCATCATTTGCCTGTTCCTGTTGCTGCAGACCTGTATCCATGTGGGTTTTGTTGGGCAAGCAGTTGTTCCCACACCCGAGGAGGGGTCTTGCTGGAGAGCTGCTCCCCTCAGCAGTGCTGGGTGCTCCCCAGGGATCCTTGTGTCACCCCACCAGCCTTGGTGCCCCATGTGTTGGTCCCCACAGATCGCATCCGGCATGGCCTACGTGGAGAGGATGAACTATGTCCACCGGGACCTGCGGGCAGCCAACATCCTCGTGGGGGAGAACCTGGTGTGCAAAGTGGCCGACTTCGGCTTGGCCCGGCTCATCGAGGACAACGAGTACACTGCTCGGCAAGGTGTGTGCCCGGTGCTCCCGGGGGGAACCAGCACCAGCACTGGTCTCTGCTCCCCAGGGCTGTGTGTTGCATCTTGACACAACACAAGGCCCTGGTTGCAGCCCCTCACCCTGCCTCTCCTGCAGGTGCCAAGTTCCCCATCAAGTGGACAGCCCCCGAAGCTGCTCTGTATGGCAGGTTTACCATCAAGTCAGATGTCTGGTCCTTTGGCATCCTCTTGACTGAGCTGACGACCAAGGGCAGAGTGCCATACCCAGGTGAGAGCTGGTAGCTGCCAGTGGAAGCCCCATCCCCATTGCAGTGCCCCAGTGCTTGCCCCCAGCACTCAGTGGTCCCAGGGCCATCTTTGCAGAGGAGCAAACTGGTGCAAAGTTTCCCCTGCACTTTGGGCAGGGATGGTGGGCTCTGGGGTAAGCTGCTCCTGCCCAGGTCACATCCTGCTCTGCTGGGGCTGGGTGAGCAGGGTCACAGCCACCGTGTCCCACTGCAATCCCCAAGCAAGGTGATGGACTGGCAGGGACAAGCGCTCTTGGGCTGGGGGATCACCAGGGTTTTCCCATAAGGCTCATCCCAGCATGATGTCTTCTGGGAAAGGTGAGGTGCAGGATGTGGCCTGGCTCTAATCAATGCCCTGTCTCCTCTGGCCGCACGCAGGGATGGTGAACCGGGAGGTGCTGGACCAGGTAGAGCGGGGGTACCGCATGCCCTGCCCGCCCGAGTGCCCCGAGTCCCTGCATGACCTCATGTGCCAGTGCTGGCGGAAGGACCCGGAGGAGCGACCCACCTTCGAGTACCTGCAGGCTTTCCTGGAGGACTACTTCACCTCGACAGAGCCCCAGTACCAGCCTGGCGAGAACCTATAGACCCGGGGCTCCTCCTGGCACCAGGGACGCTGCCATCCTCGCTATGGGGTGCCGGGGGCTGGATTTTTGTGGAGCAGCCCTGAGGCGGGATGGGGCATCGTGTCCGGATGCGGCCAGGAGAGGTTCTGGGTGTCCCCATCGCTCATTAAGACTTCTGGCCCGTGTTTAACGAAGCGGTGCCGTCCCGCTGGCAAGAGGAGCCTGTGGGTGCCGGCAGAGCCGGCTCGGAGGGCGAGCGGAGCATCTCTTGATGAGAAACTTGGCTTCTGGGAGACCTTGTCCCTCCCCAGCAGCTCTGGGGTGAGCCTGGGGGAACTGTGGGACAGCATCACCCCACCTCGGACACATGGCCCCGATCTCCTGCACTCCCTTTTTAAATCAGCACAAATCTCCCTGCCCTTCACCCATCCCAGCACCCCCGTCCTTGGCTCTGGTTCTCCTGGGAGCGCTGGCAGGGGCGTTTCACCATGGGGAAGGCACAACCTTGTTTGGATGGGGTGATGCACTGGTGTGGGTGGCAGCAGAACACTGATGACCCCTGTTCCTCGGGCATCTCTCTGGCACTGGGAGTACGACATGTGGCTGCTCATGGCGCCGGTGACCAGAACCATCCCACGGGAGCACCCGGGTGCACGTTCACATCTTCCAGCTGCATCTGTTCCCCCAAGGGACCTGTCTGTTTCACATGGGAGCAGCACTGGGGGTTGCCAGCAGAGCCCTCGCCCAGCCCTGTCACCCTGGCGGCACTTTATCCCACTGAGCATTCCTGGTCTTCCAGCCGCCCCTGGGAAGTTCACCACAGCCCCCCCCCCCGCCGCCCTCCCCAGCTCTGCCACCAGCAGCATCCTCTGGGCTGGCCCTGCCACCAAAGCCGGTGCCACCACAGGCTGGGTGCGTGGCACGTGTGGCTCTTCAGGGTGTGTGAGTGTTTTGGGGAAATACTCATCTTTCACAGATGCTTTTGTCCACCCCGTATGTTTTTAGCTGCCTTCCCTCTACCCCTCACATCTCAACCACCGGGCTGCAGTCCCCATGCAGTGGGAGCATCCGCAGCCATGGGCTGCCATCCTGGAGGAGAGTCCTGGGGAACGCTGTGCTGCGCCATTTGCATCCTCTTCTCCCCCCTGCTTGTTCCCAAGGGCCTCAGCCCTGTTTCGGTGGTGGGTGGCTCGCCAGGCTCAGTTTTGCCCCCCCCCCCATCCCATGGGGCTGAACCCCAGTGGGGTGCCACCAGCCCCTGCGCTCTTCTGTCCAGCACCTGCTTGTACATAGCCCCCAAGCGGTCCCTGCACCCTCCCAGACATTGACTTCGTTGCATGTGTTGCTTCTTCCCCTCTCCTGTGGCTGCTCCCAGCTGGAAACCCTTTGCCATGGTGGCTCACGAGGCTTTGCTCCATCACCTCTTGGGTCCTGGGCCTCCTGGCTCAGAAACAAGCTGGGGGCTGTTTGGATGCTCTCCTGCACCAGGGGTGGGATGGGGACTGGGCGAGGTGATAGCACACACCGGTGTGAAGGACCCAGGAAGGGAAGCCAGCAGCTTTACCTACCTCTTGGTCCTTGGGCTTTCTTTGCCACCCCATTACTTGTGGGATGGGGTTTCCCCCCCAGCACAGCCTCCTTGCAGGCAGCAAATCCCAAACCATCTTTCTCCAGCCCTTGCTGCAGTGCCAGTGTCCCATGAAAGCCAGGTGGAAGCTGAGCATGAGCATGGGAGTGACCAAAACCACCTCCCAAACTCGCACCAGAGCAGGGCCCAGGCACGCCACTGCTCCCACAGCTCGCCGGCCGCTTATTTATGAACCAAGTGCTCGTTGGGTTGGTTGGTGGCTCCTTTTTAATGAGTAAAACCCTCAAAATCGGCTTGAACAGACTGCAGCAGGATGGAGAGATCCTGCTGGCTTGGAGAACAGTGACTGGTTTAATGGATTGTTGGTTTTTAATCATCTGGGGACTTAGAGCCTTTTCTCCCCACGCTTCCTCACAGATTTGCTGTGCCTGCGTTTGGGCAGGGACCCTCCAAGATGTTCTGGGTCTTCCCATGTTTGCATCCCTGAGACAGGCGGCTGCTGCATCCCCATCAGCGCTGCCAGAGAAGCCCCGTCCCAAGGGGTGGCTGTGCCATAGCTCTGCCTGAGCGACACAAAATCCCCAGCACCGGGAGAAACCCCTTAAAACCAACGTGCGGAAGCCAGATTTGACCCAAAAGCTGGGGGGAGAGAAGGCAAACGCACATGTTCAGTTTGGCCTTTGGTTGTCTGCAGCACGTACGGGGTCTTGCACACACGCAGCAGGATGGGAGCAGGCTGAACCCGGTGGTTTCGTTCTCTGGCTCTTCCCAGCAAGCGGCAGAGCAGGAGCGCAGCCGTGGCGCAAGGAGCACCCTGGGCTGGTTTGATTCCCCATGGCTTTTGGCAAGCTCTGACGAAGGAGATGTGCTGGGGCTGAAGACAGCAGAGTGACCCTGGAGGAGCCCTGCGGTGCGAGGCTGGGGCTGTGTGTCTGCCTGTCCGTGTGCCCATCCATGCTTCTGTGGGACCCAGCGTCTCCGGACTCGCCGCTGCAGCCAGCAAGACCCAGAGGCTCCAGGGACGGAGCTCCATCACCGTTGTTTGCCACTTCTTTTTTTAAGCCAATGAACTCCAGAGGGGAGCCCCAAAGTGAGGATGCTCTTTGTCTTCCTGGGGTCAGTAATGTCCTACAAGTTACCCTCCTCTGCCGACAGCAATTTTTTAAGCAGTGTTTTGTAAGATCTCCAACCGACTATGCAGAGAACATGTGGGTCTGTGTCTCTCTCCCCAGCTCCCCTCTCCCCCCCCCCCTTTTTTTGGTGTCTACGTAAAATATTTAGCTTTTTTTTTTTTTTTTTTTTTGGATAATAATAAAATTTTGGAAAAAATCCCCTATAAAAAGGCCCAGCTTTGTGGGTGGTGGTGGGTGGAGATGCTCTGAAACCCAAAAGTTGATGTAAATACTTTGCAGTTTGATAATTAAATACAAACAGACCTCACGCACACAGCAAGAAAGCGTAGCTCATGTATGAGAAGACATCTCAGCAGCGCTGTGAGGGGGGCTGGTGGTTCTTGGGGCACGTGCAGCGCCTGTGTGTGGCTCCTGCTGCTTCCGATGGTTCTTCTGGCCAATGATTCTGGGATCTGGTGCCCTTCCGGAGCCATCCCATCTGCCCACGTGGGCTCGTGGTCCAGCAAAGCCCCAGTGCCTGCTCTTGCAAGAGGAGCCTTATCGCTTGTGTCCCTCTTGCTCTGAGGGACAGGGACAGCTCCTGGACTGCTCCGGTGGGGACGCGTTGCCATGGTGGGGATGGAATCGAGCCAATGTGTTCCAAGCTGAGCCAGCCTGCATCACCGGTGGGATCCCAGCCAGAGCACCGATGCTGTGGCACACACCATCAGCACATAGCATTAGCCACGAGGGACCCATAGGTGCTTCCCAGCCTCTGTGTGCTGGGACACCCGGGTTCCTGCCCATGGTCCCACAGGTCTGTGGGTGACAGGGTGACAGCAGGCAGCAGAGCCAGCTGCCAACCCCCATCAGTTGGGCTGGGGGGGGAACAGGATGAGGGGCAGCCCTCCCATCAGCACAATCGGCTTCATCAGCAGCTACAAGGAGCAGGCCTGCTTTGGCGGGGTAATTAGGAGCTGATTGGGATCCCTCAGTCTGTGATTAAGTAATTGATATATAGCACAGTGTGGGGGGAGCAGCCCCTCTGAAAGCAGGGTTGATGCTGCTGTTGCTCCTTCTCCACCACCATAGTCCAGGGTGGTTTTAGTGCTCCAAACCCCTAGGTCTGCCTGCTCCTTCCCCCTCCTCAGGCTGGTAAGTGGCTTCAGTCTTATCACCTTAAATGTTTCATGCTTTATGGTTTGCTTCTCTCTAAAGCATCTGAGTGACTGAGGGATTATCTGTGTGTGATGTGTGGGCAGGGGTGGGTTGGTGAGGTCATGCCTAGGAGGGAAGCAGCAGCCAAGGCTCCTCCAGCTCTCAATTTTGCACCTTTGGCGTTGCTGCTGGGGACCAGGGCAGCCATGGAGAGGATGTGCAGAGAAGGAGGAAGAGGCAGGGGTGCTGTGGGGAGGGCAGGGGGCTGCAGTCCAGCCTGAGCCCTGGGGCAGCGTGTCTCTGGTGAGTCATGGCCAAGGGATGAGGGGGATGCATTCAGGACTTCCAAGCACTGCCTAAGGCATCACTCTTCTAGTTATCCCCTTTGCCCCATCTCTGCTCCTCGGCCTCAGTGGTAGTTGAAGCATCTTAAAAAGACGGTCAGGGCAATCAGCAGTACCTGCAGCCCACCCTGGCTGTGCTTGGTGGCTCGTGTGCCATGGAGTCACCTCCTTGGTGACACCTCTCTCTGCTCCTAAGCTCTCTGCAGAAGCCAACCCTGTGAAGCAGTATGGGAAGGGGGTGACATTAGCCTGGAGGGGCAGAGGCTTGCTGGTCCAGGAGGTGTGAATCACTGGTTGGGATCCGCTTGGACCCGCAGGAGCCCCTGCCAGGCATCCCCAGCCTGAGCCAGGCAGATGCGCCTGGGGATTACACCACGTGCCTCCTTTAATGGACTTAATCTTGCTGTTTGCTTTGTGCCTGGGAGAGGATTTGAGTGTTAGGGTGGGGGCTGTGGCTACCCCCAGGGCTGGTGGGGGTCCTGTGCTGGGCAGTTTGTGCTGGCAATGGGTTTCTAAAGCGCTGAGGGTGAGTTGTTTGGGTTGAACATCCCCTTCACTTTCCCCAGTGCCATCAAGTCCTGGCTCTTGATCCAGGCTCCCAGAGGATAAATGTTTGAGTATGGAAGGGGTAGCTCTGACGCACTCCATGTGCTGAGGATCCCCCAGAGCAAAAATCCTGGGGGCCATGGTTTGGCTCTGGGGTCCCTCTCACAGCCCAGACCCGGTCTCTGGGGACAGGAGCAGGGTGGTGTTTGTTGAAGGCTGCTCACAGCCCCAGTGCCAGGTGCTTGGGTCATCCCCTCAGCAGCAGGTCTGGGTGGCACCTGAGCCATCTGTCCTCCCTTGCCCTCCTGCCCCAGGATTTACCTTTGCTCAGAGGAGTAGCAAAACCCTCTTGCCAAGAGTTAATCTCCAGCCTCCGGAGGGAAGGGCTGAAGTCCTTACCTGACGTGTAGCTTACCTCCCATGGTGGCTGAGGGCTAGGAAACCATAGAGACCAAAGGATGCTGGCAGGGCAGGTCTCTCTGTGGCCCTGAGTAATGTTTGTGGCTTCCCTGGCTGGGGGCATTGCCTGGACTAGCACGAGGGGATGAGGTTGGAGGCTGTGGGATCCTGGCACTATTGCCAGCAGACCTGCACCTCTGGACTCAGCTGCCTCTGAGCTGGATGGTGGGTACCTCCAACCCAAACAGCTCCTCAATGGCATCGCCCTTTCTCCTCTTTCTGCTGCTAAGTAATAAGGCCACGTTGTTGGCTTGTCTCAGGGAGAGCTTCCAGACAGCAGGCACTAATCACCTAGCAATATCCAGGGATGGACCAGCAGATGCTGGGAGAGCAGGCTGGAGCTGGAGAGCTTGACTTGTGAACACAAGCCACGAGACATGGATGTCCTGCAGATCTAGGGTTCCAAAAGCCAAACCAGCCTGGTAGTCATGGCTAAACCTTCTCCATGGGAAGCTTTGTGGTTTCCCAGTTGTTCATCTTGGGGATGCTGCTTCCACCTGACAAGTGGTGAGGAGGGGAGTGACAAGCCCCCAGATCTTGGGGCTGCAGCGAGGAGCCCAGCGCTGCCTGCACTAAGCTGTGTCTGTTCCTAGGGCTCTGAACATGGGTTTGGTTTGTTTTTGCTTTCCTGACCCTGCTGTGCCACTGATCTGTTGTGTGACCTAGAAAAGAAAATGATCTCTCCTTCAAATGGAAGGACAAAGGAACAGCTTAAGGCGTCTGTATCTACGGAGCATCAGGCAGATGGACGCATTTTATAATACAGCAAGGTGATGAGACTCGCTCTGTGCCAAAGCCCTTGAGGGCAGTGTCCAGGCTCATGGGGCCTGGCACAACATGGTTGTGTTTTAGACCCCACTGCTTTGAGCCACTAGCGTAGCTACTGCAGCGCAGTGCCTGCCCACCGGTGTGGTCCCCATGTAGGGACCCCTTGGTGGCTCCAGGACACTGGGGGACAGAGCCCCCGGCTGCTTTTCTGGCAGAGAAAAAAGCAAAACATCTCATTTCTCCTTAACAGCTCATTTCTTCCACGCAGCCAGCAAATGCTTGCCCAAGAGCACAAATGCTGCGTCTGTATGGGCTCAGCCCAGTTTGTGGTGCACAAGCAGGACAACTGTGATGCTCCTTTTCAAAAGCCATCGGGTTAGACCTGTTCTGCAGTCACCAGCTGGTTTTTCATGGTCCTTTATACAGAAGGACGAGCATGGGATGAGAGCCTTTATACAGAAGGCATTAGCATGGGATGAGAGCCCTTGTTGGGTTCCTCACTTTGCCTGAGGCTTTCTGTCTGACCATGATGAAGTGGCTTTAATTTTCTGTGTTTAAAACAAAGATGGTATCTCAGTGCCCTAAAGAGGGTAACACTATGTGCTGGGAGGGCTGCGTGTGTATCAAAGAGTGCTCTTTACCTTACACTTGGGTGGGAGGGCTGCAGAAAGGAGTTTTCTTGCCCATCAACCTGCCAGATCTCTCCTGTCACAGGCAGCCTCCCTTTTGAAGTGCTTTTGTCTCCCAGATGGGTCTCAGAGATGGAAAGCTCTTAGCCTTGTCCTGAACCCTGTGCCCAAAGCTCTCAGCCAAAGGACTGTCTGGCTTCTTGGCTAGGATTTAAATTGCCGCAGAGTGCAACCTGGCTAGTTAGCACCCAAAACACACTCTGAAGAACTGACTGCATTAGCTTGCATTAGATTTAAACTTAGAAGGTGCTCAATGTACACCAGAGTCTTACTGAAGCTTGCAAATGAGATGCCTTCCCCATTCCTATTTGTTACACTGCAGTTGATATGACAGCTACTGGGACTTCCCTCGGCCTGGCAGGTGACAGAGCTGTCACTTCTATTCTTGGTGATGTGGCACGCACTTGGTTTTTTAAGCATGTAAACACTAATATACCCTGAACCCTTTCCAACTTGGACTCGGTCTTCAGGGCTTTGGGGCAAAGGTAGAAGCTGGTTTCAGCTCCAGCAGCACAGCTCCTACACCCTCGAACTAAGGTGTTCCTGGGTGCCCACAGGGCCTCTGCTCACAGCAGGGGATAGGTCAGGACAATGTGGTGTCATGGGACGGGCTCACACCACGTAGGTGCTGGGTAGGTAATGCTCTTTCAGCTGGCACTGGAGATTAGCAGTGTCCAGGGCACAGCAATTGAACTTGGCAAGCAGTACGCCAAGGGGAAATGTGTCACTTAAGTGCAGAGATACAACTAGAAGCTACCTCCTGTGTTGTGTGCAAGATGAATCTGTTTTACAATCACCAGTATGGTTCTCAGGTCAGTTTAAACAGTCAACAAGAGCTGGTACTAGGAGGTACAGGGCAAACAGGCTCTGCCTCTTGCTGGAGAGGGGTTACTGTGCTGGGAACAGAACAATAGAGACACATGATTGCTGGGCTAAGGCATTTGCAATGAGTAGCCAATGCATCATGCTGGGCAGGAGGCCATAGACCAAAGTTTATAAAGCTTTATTAAACATTTTGAACAGCTGTGCAATGAACAAACAATACTCTGGAAGTTTCACAACCTCATAGCTTGAACTTCCTCAGGAGAGCAACAGCCACTTCTGCTGCTCTCCACTATGAGGCTGAAGTAAAGACAAACAGATGGAAAAGGGGAGGGAAACCTTTAAAGTTTAGAGAGAGTGTTTTGTGTTACCCTCTAAGGCTTCTCACAAACCAACCTCTGCTCCAGGCTGGGCTCCCCAGGAGCCACAGCTGTACAGAGCAATGCACACAGCATGGGGCTTTGCACAGCTGTGGCTGTAGGACTGACCCACCACAACCACCACCACCGCTTCTTGATGTCCTTCTGCCAGGGGAGGTGGAGACACTGGGCACTCCTC